ATGAAGGATCCCCGATGCTCTCTGGATCACAGGACCCCTTTTCCTGGTTTCTGTGGCCAGAGGGATGGGTTTTCTCGTGAGGTGTGGGGTGCCTGGTCTACGGCCACAGTGCAGCTCCAGGATCGGGGTCTCTTCAGGACAGGATCCGGTGAGTAAAAAACACAAGACCAGCCAACCAACCAACCAACCAAAACCTGGGTTCACTCGCATGCTTTGGCTCGCAGGGTCTCCTTTCCTCTGGCCAGAGAGAGAGGCTTTCTCTTGGAGGTTTTGACATCTGCACTGGTATGTAATCCCACACTGGGGTCGACCTCTGGTCGAAGCTGTCTGATGAAAGAGGAGGAACACTTGGAAAGTCACCCCATCAGGTCTTTAAGTTTGGGGTCTGCTCTCTAAGCTGCCTGCTATGACTGACCTTTCAGAGTCCTCGGAGGGTTGTGTCCTGTCCACACCAGAAGTCTCTCCTTGGCTTCTGAAGGCTGGTTTGCTGATTATAGAGACCCGAGCTTCATGTGTGTAGAGGCATCATGTCTCTGTCCTCATCGTCTTCAGCTCGCATCGTTTCTGCACCAGGTGTGCTGTGATTCTGATCCTTGTTCCTGCGCATGTAACGTGTCTTTTTTCCCCTCTCTCTGCCTTCAGGGTGTTTTCCTTGTCTTTGGTTTTCATCGCTTGAATATGATGTGTCTTGTTGTGCCTTTTGTATATTTATTATATATATTATTAAATGTATATCTTTAAATCCTTCTGAATTTGGATCTGTGCTGTGGTGTCTTTATTTTTAGAAAATTTGTAGCCATTATTGTTTCCAACATTTCTCCTGCCCACTCTCTCCTCTCCTTCTGTGACTCCAATTACACATGTGTTAGACCAGTGGAAGTTATTCCAGGGCTTCCATTTGCTCTGCTCTGTTGGCTGGTTGGGGTCCACCTTTCCTCTTTGTTTAGTCTGGGTAATTTCCACGGTCTTATCTTGAAGCTCATGATTCTCTCCTCGTCTGTGCTGAGTCTACTCGTGAGCCTGTTGAAGGCATTCTTCATCTCTGTTACCCTGTTTTTACTTCCAGCATTTCCATTGGCCTCCTCCTCAGAGTCTCCGTCTCTGTGCTGAAAGCCTCCCCGCCCTTTTCTTCATGTTATCTTTCCCACTAGAGCCTTAACATAAATCCTGTCAGACAATCCCAGCACTTGAGCCACATCTGAGTCTGGTTCTGTTGATTTTCATGTCTTGACTGTGGGGGGTTTGTCCTTCTTTTTTGTGTCTTGTAATTACTTACTGAAAGCCAGATATTGTCTAAGGACAGTGAAATGATACCTTCAAAGGCTTTAAGCTCAGATTTCTTTCTTTTTTTTTCAAATTTTTAATTTATTTTTGGCTGGGTTGGGTCTTCGTTGCTGCACGCGGGCTTCTCATTGCGGTGGCTTCTCTTGTTGCAGAGCACAGGTTCTTGGCAGGCGGGCTTCAGTAGTTGCAGCAAGTGGGCTCAGTAGCTCTGAGGCGTGTGGGATCTTCCCAGACCAGGGATCAAACCCATGTCCCCTGCATTGGCAGGCAGATTCTTAACCTCTGCACCACCAGGGAAGTCCCTAAGCTCAGATTTCTATACTCAGAAAACCTTCAAAAATGGAGAGAGTTCTGGTGTGGACAAGACAAAGTAAGCAAATGTCTGAGACTCTGAAAGCTTAATAATAGCAGGCAGATTAGGGAGAGGACCCAAAACTTAAAGACAAGGAAGCCGAAATCCCAGCTTTCTGATAGGTTTAGGAAAAGTTGTGATTTTGAGGTTGTCCGGCTTTTCTTGTTTTTAGATGGCGGTAATGAGCATTCCAGCTTTCTACATCCTAGGCAGAACTCGCCCTCTGTATGATTTTGCTTCTTACAATTTAATGAGGTTTTCTTAAAGACCTAATATGTGCTCAAACTTTGTAAATATTCCACAGGTGATTAAAAATATTACATAAATTTTTCATTGGTTTCCAAATTCTCTCTCTGTGCATTATCATGAGCTTATTGATCTTCTATATGCAGATCTTCTATATGCAGATCTTCTATATGCTTACTTAGTGTTTGCCATTGTGACACCTTTCAGAAAGAAGAGGGAACCTCACCTCAAATTTGGTCCAGTTGTCAAGACTGGTGACAACACACACACACACACACACACACGCACACACACCCCAAGAGGGTATGGAAATGTTCATCCCTCACATAAGGAGGCTTTCTAGGGAGAGCAGTGCAGGCCTCCCAAGCTGGCCTGAAAATGGCTTGAGAGCCAGGAAAGGAGATGCACTTGGGGCTTGTATTGTGCGAGGGCGGGGCCATGGTGAGGGTTTCTGCATGGGCAGGTGCTTGAGTGGTTTGAATTTCCCACCGGTACCAAAGGAGGCAGCGCCCAGTCTTTATCCGCGTGCTAAGATGTGGGGAAGAAAGAGAAGAGGCAGGGATGAGGCCTTAAAGATGTCAGCTGTTAAACATCAAAAAAACAGAGTGAGACCCTATTTGCATTTCTCTACCTGCCTCTTGGTGGCATGGACCCATTACTAATATAATATATCTCTCATTGTCCATTTAATGCTTTGCAGTTTGAAATGTATTTCATCTGATATGAAAACTGTTATAAGCTATAGCATTTTTGCCTTTTATTTTTACCCTTTCTCTACAGTAGAAGAAAACATAGTTGTATCTTTTTGACCCATGTAGGGAGCCACTGTCCTTAAATAGAACAATTTAATCCATACATATCTAGTATGATTGCTGGTCTTTACTTACTCTTTTTTTTTTTTTAAAGGCAAAGTCTTTTTTTTAATTTATTTATTTTTATTGATTTTTTTTTGGCTGCGTTGGGTCTTCGTTGCCGTACATGGGCTTTCTCTAGTTGCGGCGAGCGGGGCTACTCTTCGTTGTGGTGCGCGGGCTTCTCATTGTGGTGGCTTCTCTTGTTGCGGAGCAAGGGCTCTAGGCTTGCAGGCTTCAGTAGTTGTGGCACGCGGGCTCAGTAGTTGTGGCTCACAGGCTCTAGAGCACAGGCTCAGTAGTTGTGGTGCACGGGCTTAGTTGCTCCGCGGCATGTGGGATCTTCCCAGACCAGGGCTCGAACCCGTGTCCCCTGCATTGGCAGGCAGATTCTTAGCCACTGCGCCACCAGGGAAGCCCTACTTATTCTTACTATCTTATTCTTTGTATGCTCTATTCTACTTTCTTGTTGTAGAGCTGGTATAATATCCTTTGCTTGAATCCTTGCTCTGCTGCTTTTAGTAACCAGGTAAACTTGGATGTGAAACTTGTGCCTCAGCTTCCATATCTGTGAAATGGTACAATAATGGTACCTACCTCATTCCATTAATGTGTATGAAGGTATGAGAGTGCAGGTCACATAAGTGCTACATAAATGTCTTCTGTTATTTCTATTGTTTCCTTTTATCTGTTTTTATGACGTTGTCAGATTGGTTGAGTTTTGTTGTTGCATTGTTCTTGCAGTGGTTTGAAAGCTATTTCTCCTATCCTTGGGACAGTCCTCTCCCTCTGCTTCTGTTTTCTTCTGACCTACCTTCCATTTCATAATCTTCTCTTCCACTGTGTCTAATCTGTTGTTAAACCCATCTACCGAATTCATAGTTTCAGTGATTGTATTTGTTTTCCAATTTCCATTTCTTTATAGATTTCACTTATCTGCTGAAAATTTCCATCTCATAGTCTATTTCCTTGAACATGTTAGAGTTATTTGAAAATCTAATAATGCCAATATACTGTTCTCCTGTGGATTTATTACTAATATACACATATTTCTTCCGTTGGTTTTGGATCATTTGTTTTCTGGTTTTCTTTGTGAAGTTTTATTCTGTTCTGGATATTGTCTGTGAAGATGTTTTCGTTAACCTGAGGCCCAGGTGATGCTGCTGTCCTCCAGAGGTTTCCTTTGGCTTCAGGCTGGCAACGGGAAGGAGAGCAGATCAGCTTGGTGCAATTTGGGAGTGAGCCGTTGGGATGCTGGGTTTCAGTCTGTGAGGATTGATCTGTACCTCAGCCTCACTCCTTTGTTGTAGGTTTCAGTGTTCCAGCTGAAGGTCCAGGTTATTATCAAAGCCCCCCGACCAGTTTATCTTGCAGTAGGTCCTGCCCAATCATTGTCTCCCCCATCCTATGAGACTCAAAAGCCGTGCTCAGTGTCTCAACTTCTTGTGTGCTGCACATATTAGGGACTGCATTGTGTGTCTCCCTCCCTCCCTCTCCCTCTCCCCCTCCCCTGCACACACAGAGGAGAGCCATGCGAGGACACGGGGAGATGGCGGCCATCTACAAGCCAAGGAGAGAGGCCTCAGGAGATACCCATACTGCCCACACCTTGATCTTGGACTTCCAGCCTCCAGAACTGTGAGAGAATGTTTAAGCTGCCCAGTCTGTGGTATTTTGTTACGGCTGCTGAGCTGACTAAAGCATCATACTAATCGCTAAATATCTCAAAAGGAAAACCACGTCCCTTCTTTCTGGGATCTTCGCTCCTCAAGAAAGTCTTCTCTGTTTTGGCAGTTATCGGGTGTCTTCAAACAGGTTTTCAAAATATTTTATACAGATTTTCTTATTGTTCAAAACCATAATAGTTTTATAATTTGCTTTAAAAAAAAACACATAACGTGTGAGCATCTTTTACTGTTGTCAACTACTCTTTCTTTTTACACATTTAATAGTGGCTTAGCCTTTCGCTATATGAATCAACCATAGTTTAATTCCTTCTCGTAACACATTTAGATACTGTATTTCATCAATTCTAATTGGGGTGTCTTGCATCCATAACCTGTCATAGTTTAATGTGTGTGTTAAATAAAACAATGTTTGGGCTTCCCTGGTGGCGCAGTGGTTGAGAGTCCGCCTGCCGATGCAGGGGACACGGGTTCGTGCCCCGGTCCGGGAAGATCCCACATGCCGCGGAGCGGCTGGGCCCGTGAGCCTGCGCGTCCGGAGCCTGTGCTCCGCAACGGGAGAGGCTACAACAGTGAGAGGCCGCGTACCGCAAAAACAAAAACAAATAAAACAATGTTTTATAATTGCTGACGTCTTAGAGTCGATGATGGATGATGGGTCCAAGCTCTGCCTACCTGAAGTTACACCACAGCCAGTAATCTTGGGGTGGTGGTGGTGGTTCCCATCGTCCACCTCTGTCCTGGAAGGGGCCAGCTCCTGGAGACTCCCCTCTCCAGGAAGCACAGCTCGAGCTGGCCACTGTGACTGGGGATCCCCTGGTAGAGGCACCACAGTCCAGGGTGAAAGAGACCAAACCCTTGGACCCGGCTGAGATGGAGGTCGGCTCTGACCAGAACTTTCAATGGACAGACTTCGTCAGCCTGTGACATGGCAGCTCCATTCTGGGGGGCCCCATTTCCCTCTCCTAAATGGTGCCTCTAACCCAGGAAGTGAATTCTGAAGCGTCAAAATTGGTTTGTGAAATTAAGGCCCGTGAAAACTTGGCTCTATGGCCTTTCGGTGTTAACAGGAAATGAGCTGAACCCACTGGGCTAGGTCGCTGTCTTCCCCAGATGCTCAGCTGCCACTGGCTGGGCTCGGAAGGCCCCAAAGGGGGCTGGACAAGGGGAGACAAGGAGCCGCAGAGAGTCGGCCTGGCTAACCACAGAGTGAGAAGTGGACGGAATGGGAGACTTTCCACCTCCCTGACCCCCTCCTAGAAAAGCCCCGTTTAGGCCTCGGGCCACTGGGAGCTCTGGGTGGAAGCAGCTGGAGCTTGTGCGGCCTCGCTGAATGAACACGTGCCGTGTGTCCTTAGTGGACGGAGCTGCCCGGTGGGTCGGCCTGGTAGGCCTTCTTCCTTCACCCCCACTTCCTCAGGACACTTGGCTCCTCTGTGAAGGTGAACCGAGCCTTTCCTAGACCTGGGGTCGTCCCCGGGGCAGCCCTCTCTCACGCACGTCCACCGGGGCCACTGGAGGTAGTTCACCCGGCTGGCTTTATTTTCCTTGTTTCCCTGTGAGACGCACTCATCACAGAGGAAGCCAGTGGATACACCCGGTCTCAGCTGGTGGAGATGCGGTAGGTGAAGGGCCAGTTCGGGGGACGGGCGGGCCATTCTCAGGCGCCAAGATAATGTTCCAGGCCTGCCCCCGACCCCGCACCTGTAGGGCTGATGGCCTGGCCCTCCGTGCACCCTTGGGGTCCCAGCGCGCCCCACCCACACAGCTCCCCCCGTGCCCCACGACCCTAGGTGCCCTGTGTTCCCGCGGCTTCCAGCGCGCCCCCCCAAGTACGGACGCCGGACTCCGCGGGTCCAGCCGGCTGACGCATTTGAAACTGCCAGGAACCTCGGCCGGCCGGGCACGCGCCCAACGCCCGGGAGCGCGCCTCGTGCACGCGCGCCCCACCGCGTGACCCGCGCCGGCCAACCTGCGCGCGGGGATTTGGGGGCAAAGCGCGGCCCCGCGAGCAGCTGCGGCGGGAGAGCGGCGGGCCGAGAGCGTGAGTCGCCCGCTCGGCGCTGTCTACTGCCCCGCCGCCCGCCGCGCGCAGCCATGTCCGAGGAGAAGCCCAAGGTAAGGGCCGGCAAGCGCGGGCCGGGCCCCGGACTCGGCCCCCCCGCCCGCGCCGCCCCCGTGCCCCGGACCCCGCCGCCCTCCGCCGCCGGCCTCCGGGGCCCAGGCCCAGCGGCGCCGGCAGGACTCCCCGCCTTCCTTCCCCACTCCCCTCTCCACCCCCAGCCCCTCCTCCCCGCACCGCCCGGCTCCCCTAGTCTCCCCTCCCCCGCACGTCCCGCCCTCCGCCCAGGCCCCGCCCCCGGGGGGGGCCGCCCCGCCCTCGAGCTCCGCCCCTGCCCGGGCCCCGCCCCCGGCTCCCTCCGCCCAGACTCCTCCTCCGCGGTCCGAGCTCCACCCCTCCGGTGGGCCGAGTCCCGAAGAGAGGGCGCCTCTAGCCCGGACCCTCCTGGCTGCGACCCTCTCCCTCCGCAGACATCGCACCCCCCGTCCCCAGTCCCTCTCTGGGACCGCCTCTCCCCAGGACCTCTTCCCTCGCCGGGACGCACCCCCACTACGCCTCTTACGCGGGGACCCACGGTCCGGGCCGGCCTGGGCCCTACTGTCCCGCGTGCGCGGGGCCCCCTCCTCAGTCCTCACTGCGGAGCGCCGAGAGGGCGCAGGCTGGGCAGGGGCTCAGAGAGGCCGGACCTGTCTGGACGCATTGCCGCCCCCAGGGTGTGCGCCCACCTCCCGTCGCTGTCACCCGGTGTGCGCCACGCCCTGCGCACCGGGCTCTCCGGTGCGCGCTCGGCACTCTGGTGCCCTGGACGGCAGTCCTCGCGAAGGCCCGCGGTTGTGCTAACTAGTCTTAAAAACAGGTTTCTGGAGCCCTTCGTCTGCGCTCTTGGGGTCTGTCTCTTTGAAATGGACCATCTGCTGCACATTGAGTGCCTTGCGTGCAGGCTCCCGCCGACCCCGCTGATGCTGGAGGTTGAGCTGAAGCTGGGGCCCCTGGTCACGGAGCCCCTCCCTGGTCGGGATCACACGGTGGGGCTCCGGTGGAAGCTGCCCTCTCCTGTGAGAAAAAGCCACCCTCCAGGAGCGTCCTCCCTCCAGGTGCAGTTGGAATTGCCTTTGCTTTTCACACTTGGGGAGGCCAAATGTAAATGCCCTTTCTTTATGATTTCTAGGTGGCCTCCTCTTACTGTAGTTTATAGGCAACGAAATACACACAGTACCATCCCTTCAGTGTGTTTAAACTTAAGTCTCCCACGTGGTCAACGTCCAAGGCCCAATTCAGTAGAATCAACTTGTTTTAACTACTCTCAAGGCAACTGGATGGTTGTGCCTCATGCCCCACCAGTGCCCACTGTGCCTGCCGGGCACTGCTCACTACCTGGAGCCACTCCTTCCTCTGGGCCTGGAGGGGAGAGGGTAGGAGGTACACTCCCAGGCCATCTTGGCAGAAAGAAAACCTTGTGGATCAGTTGGGAAAGACAGTTTGCCTCCCCTCGAGAGCACAGGCAGGGGACTGACAGTGTGAGCTGTGGTTCTGGTGTTGAGGCTCCCCTCCCCGCCCCTCCTCTCTTCTAAGTTCCTTTGTTTGTTAGGGATTCTCCAGGGGTCTGGGCCAGGCCGTGTGCTCTTGGTGTCTTTCTCTGCCTGGCCTGCCGTCTTTCTGTTTGTTTTGTGTTCTGGCCCCAGTGTCCCTTTGTTTTGAACACACCCATATTGTTTCATCAAAAAAGCAAATGCATCCTCTATCCACGTGCAAAAGAATGAAGTTGGACCTTTTTTAACGCCGTATGCAAAAATGAAGTCAAGATGGTTCGAGGACTTAAACGTAAGACCTAAAACAATAAAACTTTTAGGAGAAAACGTAGGACAGAAGCTCCATGACATTGGACTTGGTGATGATTTCTCGGATATGACACCAAAGGCACGGGTAACATGAAAAAAATAAACTAGACTCATGAAAATTAAAAAATTTTGTACATCAGAGGACACTGAACAGAGTAAAAAGCCAACCCACAGAAGGGGAGAAGATATTTTCAAATCACTATCAACCAAAAAGAGAACTGCAGAAGGCTGCAGATAAGAAAAGAGTTTATTTGGGGTGTTAAGAATTGCAGCTTGGGAGACACAGATTTGGGTAAAACCGAAAGAGCTTTCCGAGGAAGAGAAAGAATCAGGGGCTTTATAATAAAGGCGAAAGCCACGAGGCTGAGCTCTGACACAAGAAAGGAAATATTTGTCCTTAAGGGATGGCTGTCACGAGTTGTTTTAGGGTCTGGGTCCCACAGGTATCTTGAGTTTCTGGCAGGTGTCCTGGATGCCTTCATCAGGACAGGACGTGGTCACAGGGTCAGATTCCGTCCGGGCTGAGAGGAGCGTTAAGGTCCGTCCTCAGTGGCCTCCTGGCTCTGTTTGAGAGGCTCTCTGAGCAACACTGACTCCATTTTGATTTTCCTTCCACATCGTATGTCTGATAAAGGATCAGTATCCAGAATATATAGAGAACTCCTAAAGCTCAACAACAAGAAACAAGCAACCTGATGCAGAAATGAGCAAAAAAACTTGGATAGACATTTCTCCGAAGAAGACATACCAATGGCCAAGAAGCCCATGCAAAGATGCTCAACATCACTGATTATCAGGCAAATGCAAATCAAAACTACAGTGAGATATCCCCTCACCCATTAGGATTGCTGCTTTCAAAAAACAAAAGAGAAAACAACAAGTGTTGGCGAGGAGAAGCTGGAATTGGTGGTGGGAATGTAGAATGGTGCAGCTGCTATGGAAGAGAGTATGGGAATTCCTCAAAAAGTTAAAAGTAGAATTACCATATGGTCCAGCAACTCTGCTTCTGGATATAGACCCAAAATGATTGAACACAGGGCCTCAAAGAGATATTTGTGCACCCATGTTCATAGCAGCATTACTGACAATAGCTAAAATTGTGGAAGAACCCAAGTGTCAGTTGGTCCATGGATGAATGGATAAGCACAACTTGGTTTGTGCATACAACGGCATATTATTCAGGCCTGAAGAGGAAGGAAATCCTTTTAGGATTTCCTAAACACGTGCTACAACAGGGATGAACCTTGAAGACATTATGCTGAGTGACACAAGCCAGTCACAAAAGGACAAGTACTGTGTGATTCCACTTACAGGAGGTCCCTGGGGGAGTCAGATTCATAGGGGCAGAAGAGCAGTGGGGACCAGGGGCTGGAGGGGGAGGAGTTAGTGTTCAGTGGGGACAGAGTTTCGGTTTTACAAGATGAAAAGAGTTCTAGAGGTGGACGGTGGCAATGGTTGTATTTTATACTACTGAACTGTACGCTTGGAAATGGTTAAGGTGGTAAGTTTTATGTGCATTTTAACACGATGAATAAATGGAAAAGAAATCTTATCTGTAAATGCAAGGTGGTATCCCGGATTGGATCCTGGAACAGAAAAGGGTGTTAGTGGAAAACCTGGTGAAATACAAAAGAGCTCGCAGTCCCGTTGTCAGCGGTGTGCCAGTGTCGGTTTCTTGGGTGTGATGGGCACTGCAGTACGTGAGATGTTAACAGGGGCGGGGCTGGTGTAGGAGTGCACTGTGCCTCGGTATTGCAACTTTTCTGGAAATGTAAGATTATTCCAAAATAAAACCTTTATTTGAAAAAATGGAAAAGCAGCTGCACCCTCGGTCTCTGGGGAGTGATCATGGGGCCCAGCTCCATCAGAGGAGGCTCCTTGCCGCAGTCTCGCCTCCTGGGGGCCACTTCTCGGGCCAGCCCGAGCTCACCTACTGGGGTCTCCAGGGGCCAGAGTACTGAGTGGCCTCCTTTCCTCTCCCCCTCCGTGAGGCAGGGAGGCGGCAGGGAAACGGCGGCGGGGAGTGGGTTCCTGGGGGAGGAAGGGGAAGAAGCAGGGAAGGAGCAGAGAGTCCGCGGCGGCCGGACCTTCCTAGAGCCTCAGGAGCAGGACAAGAGCATGTGGCTGGACAGCGTACAGACCCGCTTTGGTCTCCATCCGAACTCGTCTGCAGATTGACTCAGGGGTCAGCTTCATCATTTTGTTAAAAAGTAAACAACTCCCGTCTCCCCCAGCGGCACTCTCAGGCTGAGCCTCTGCTCTGAACACGAGCTTCTTGCATCAACTTCCAGTAGTTTCCAGGGGCCAGAGACCCCCGCTACGGGATCATGTCAGGATAGAATATGGCGGTGACCCCGTCCAGGTGGGACTGGTGGCACAGAACGGACTTGAGGGTGGCCCTCCCTGGGTGGCGAGCAGGGAAGCTGTGGGCCATCTGCACCCCAAGCCACTCGCACCCCGCTTTCCCGGCTGGAAACATCTGTCGTTGGGTCTCATTCATCCGCGTGTGTAAGTATAAATCACCTGTGCGTACGTGTGGTTCCTAGTCTCATGAGAGCGATCTTAGAGCAAAGATGGATTTTCTCTCCATTGTTTTCTGGATCTATTGAGCAGGTTTTCCCCCTTGAATTGGCAGTCTGTGGAAACACTAGATTGTCAGGGCATTTCCTGACCCAGCAAGTAGAAGTGAAAAGTAAGTTCTGTGTAGAAATCAAGCAATCACACGAGTGACTGAATTGCTGGGGAATTTTAAGAAGTAGCTTGGTTTTCATGACTTCAAAAAAGGCCAGCAGCCACGCAAACACTTTGCCTTTAAAGTGGTGTTTGTGGGGCGACGGGCTGGAGGCCGAGATTCACGTCTCTTTGCAGGAGGGAGTGAAGACGGAGAACGGCCACATCAACCTGAAGGTGGCCGGGCAGGACGGCTCCGTCGTCCAGTTCAAGATCAAGAGGCACACGCCGCTCAGCAAGTTGATGAAGGCCTACTGTGAGCGCCAGGTGTGTGTGTGGGTCCCAGAGCACGCGCGCCTGTGTGTGTCTCTGTGTGTGCACGCCTCCCCCGGAGGCGCTCCCCTCCGCCTGGCCCCTCCAGGCTGGCCGGTCACTCCCTCTTCAGCCACCCGGTCGTCCCCGGTCAGGGCTGGATGTCTGGTGATGTCCTCGTGGCGCTGCTGGGATCGGAGTGGTGGCTTCGCCTGGGATTCCATCCCTCCACCTTTGCGTCTGTGGAGCCACTGCCCTCGACACAGTTCAGTTTCCAGACGATGCTTGATTCTTGCCCTTTGTTTACTACATTTCAAAATAAGGAGCCCGTGCTCGTATGTCCTCCCACGGTGACCAGAGAGACTGACCGCGCGGAGTGTGGAGTGTGTGTTACGTGTGCGCGTGACTGTGCCCTTGGGCCCCTCGGTCCCCTTGTGCTCTCTGATGCTCCTGCCCGGTCTCTCCCCCTGAGCCTGTCCTTTCAGGTGAGGCAGCTTTTCTCAGGATACTTCGGAAATACTGGACCTTTGTTAGTTTCCGTTCTTGGCTTTGATAAATCCTTGCCTTGGGCTTTCTGTTGTTATTATTACAAAACCCTAAAAAAGCTCCACGCCTAACTCTTCTTCTCCCCACTTTTCAGAGCTTGCTCCTCGGAGGAGATCACTTTCAACTCCAACTTTTTTTTTCACTTTTCTTTGGTAAATATGCTTGCGCTTCTATTTCTTCACGTTCTTTGATTTTGGAGATTTTTTTCGCCTGTGAAAGGTGGGTCTTCACCTCTGGCCCGCCATCCGCACATCCACCACCCGCGCTTGCACACAGCTCCTTCCCTGGACTCCAGCCCATCGCTCTGGAATCTCCTGCTTCTGTCCTGACTGGGGCAGCGCCAGCCCTGAGCCACACAGCGGCCTGTGGAGATTTCTGGCTCTTGTCTGAGTCCTGTTTCTCCTGGTCTGGTGGTGGTTGTGTGTGTCATTTTCTGGGGGCCCCTTGTTAATTTATGCCCTGAATTTCCCGTCGTGCTGCACCGTCCGCCACGTTCCTGGGCCTTTTGCTTTCCCATCGTCCCTCCCAGGGCCCCTCCCTCCCTGCCCCACCTGGACTGCTGCTCAGCCATCATCCCAGAGCCTCCTCCTGTGTATTTTCTGGATTAATCTTCTGCCCCTGTTTTGATGGAGCATATCTTCCAGTATCTTGCGCAGAAAGGGTATGAAAAATACTGCACGTCGGAAAGTGATTTGCTTTATAAACCTTCACGCTTGAGTGTTTGAGTGCACGTAGGTTGCAGTTCATTTTCTTTTCTTGGAGCTATTGCATCATTTTCGTCTAGTTTCCAACGCTGGTGTGGAAAGTTCAATGGCGTCCTCATTCTCTCTCCTCTGTTTGCGGCTTGGTTTATCTCTGATAGCTTTTGGGACCTTGTTTGCGTGCTTTGAGGCAGTGCTACCATTTACTCTTCTGGGCACATTCTGGGCCTTTTTGGTCTAGAAACTCATTTTAGTTCAGGAACTAGACCTTCTGTTAGTTCTTTGGTAATTTGTGTCCCTCTTCACTGGAATTCCCATCCGGCTTGCAGTTACCTGCTCCAGGTGTGTTCAGTTGGATTATTTCCTCCCATCGTGCATTGGGTTTTGTTGCTATTGGTCTCTGTTCTGGGAGGTTTTCTCAACTTCATGTTCCCACTTTTTATGGACGGTCTTGTTTCTGTCATGATTTCTGATTTTTAAAAGTTCTTGTTCTGGGCTTCCCTGGTGGCGCAGTGGTTGAGAGTCCGCCTGCCGACGCAGGTTCGTGCCCCGGTCCTGGAAGATCCCACGTGCCGCGGAGCGGCTGGGCCCATGAGCCATGGCCGCTGAGCCTGCGCGTCCGGAGCCTGTGCTTCGCAACGGGAGAGGCCACAGCAGTGAGAGGCCCACGTACCGCAAAAAAAAAAAATTCTTGTTCTTTCCCATTTTCTGAGGCTCCGTTTTTCCCCAGGGGAACTTTCTGTTGTTTTCTATCTCCCTAAGAGCTTCAGGTGTGTGTATGCATCTGTGTGCACGTGCGTGTGCACGCGCGGCTGTGTCTCTCTGCACATCTTTGCGTGCGTGTGTGTGCGCGCGCGTCCCGGCGTGCTCTGATCCTTCCTCCCCGTGCCCTCCTCGTCCCTTTCTTTCTTCTTTGCTTTGACTCCTCACACATTGGTCTTTCCCTAACTGTCCTCTCTCCCTGGGTGACGGCTCGTATTTAAGCACGAAGCACTAAAAAGCTGGTGGAAGGCAGCGCACCTGGTGTGTGGACGTGGCCCGCATGTTGTCGCGGGGCGGCCTGCCCAGGTGGGTGTTCTTTGGGGGTCCCAGTGTTGCAATCTGTGAGTCTTTAAGTCTCCCCGGAGTGGCCCCCAGGCTCCCGCCTGTGCCCTGGGAGCGCGGCGGCCGGGAGGAGCAGCTCGGCGGGGTGCCGGATGTACTGGGCATCACTTGCCTGCCTCCGCCGGCTACCTGTCACTGCCCCGTTTGTGCCTGTGTCCCCAGCCCAGGGCTCTGAGTCCACCTTTCCAGAACGGGGACCTTCTGCCCGTGGGAGGGACAGTGCCCGACCTTGGGGTTGGGGGCCCTGCTTTGGGAGTCGGATATGGACTTTCCAGCAGTCACCCCAGATCAGCTGCATCGCTGCCACTTACACCTGTGTGCCCGGCCCCTGCCCCTCTCGGGGCTCTTGTTGTCCGCCCCCCTGCCCCCCAGCGCACCGCATCCTGACCTTGGGGTCTAGGGTCCACAGCCCTGTAGCTTCCAGCCCGGAGGTGACGCCCTTTGTCTGCTGGCCTGGCCCCTCTCCTGTTTTCTTTGTCCTTGTTTATGCCTTTTTTTGTTTATGTCACATCAGTAGGTATCAGGAGGGAGCAGAGATGGGTGTTTTAATCCTGTCTGTCCCGATGAACTGGCTGTGCCCCCGACCACGTCCAGCTGTTCCCTCAGGAGGCAGAAGGGCCGCTTCCCAGCTTCAGGCAGCTGCTCATCACACGCCTCAGGGTCGCCTGACCCGTTCCTGAGAATTGTTGAAAGGGGGGGAAGTGATGGTGCCAACGGTGTCGAAATTCTGCTCAGCGCCTGGAGGGAAGTGAGAGGGATGGGTGAGGGCGGAGCCCCAGGAGCTAGAAGGTGCTAGAACGGCATTGTCTGAAAGGTTGTTCTGGGTGCATCACATGAACTAGGTTGCAGCCCCACTGGTGAGGCTTCGTAGTCACCTGCGTTGTAAATCTGTATATGCAGAAATCTGGTGTTTCCACATAAATGTGTGATTCTTTTTTTTTTTTTTTTTTTTTTTTTGCGGTACCCGGGCCTCTCACCGTCGTGGCCTCTCCCGTTGCGGAGCGCAGGCTCAGTGGCCATGGCTCACGGGCCCAGCCGCTCTGCGGCATGTGGTATCTTCCAGGACCGGGGCACGAACCTGCGTCCCCTGCATCGGCAGGCGGACTCTCAACCACTGTGCCACCAGGGAAGCCCCAAATGTGTGATTCTTTTTGAATTAATGTGTTAGCTGAAAATGTTTAATGATGATTGCTTTTTCTTTTCAGGGCTTGTCAATGAGACAGATTCGATTCAGGTTTGATGGACAACCAATTAATGAAACAGACACCCCAGCACAGGTAGGAAAGCCGACCCTGTCTATACTTGAGAGCTTCTTCCGATCTGCATTTCATAACTTCCATTTGGAATACTTGCATTTGAGAGGCACTGATTGCTTCTCACATAGAAAGAATTACATTTTCTTTCTTTTTTTTTTTTGACGCACCAAGTGGCTTGCGGGATCCTAGTTCCCCAAACCTGGGCCCTTGGCAGTGGAAATGCAGAGTCCTAACCACTGGACCACCAGGGAATACCCACCTTACCTTTTATTTTCTTTATTTATCAAAAAAAATAGTTTTTTTGGCTGTGCTCTGCGGCATGTGGGGTCTCAGTTCCCCGAGCAGTGATCGAACCTGTGTCCCCTGCAGTGGAAGCGTGGAGTCCTAACCACTGGACCTCCAGGGAAGTCCCTACATTTTCTTAATGGCTTTAATTATTAGATCATTTGACTTTGTAATTTTGAGGTTCAGTTTTCGAATGAGGAAGATGTCCTTTGTCAGCCTCTTCTGTGTTGGGAGAGGGACCAGGAGGGTTGGGTGCCCGGCGGAGGTGGTCCAGAGACAGGGACGAGGCCTGGGCCTGCCCATGCCCACCGCCGTCTGCAGGCTCCAGGCGAGCCGGGCACGTGCGGTCACCACCCACTTGTAGCCTGGATACTGGGTCTGCAACGTTAGCCGGTTTGTACTTTTCAGTAAAACTTTATAGAGACTTGTTTATTTGTAACAGGACTTAGTGTTTCTATCAGGTCAAGTCCCTAATGTTGACCGTTCCTTTGTTAGGGGAAGCTTGGGGAATAAGCGGGCTTGTTGGAAATCCACAGCTCAGCCTCTGTCCCCGGGTGCCCACCGACAGCAGGCTCGGGGCTCAGGCACCTCAGGGTGGTGTCCCTGGCGTGGGCGGGGGCAGCTCCAAGACCCTGGTGCTCAGCGGGGTGGGACCCCTTCCTGTGCCGTGAGGATACTCACTGCCCCCTCTGTGCCTGCAGCTGGAGATGGAGGACGAAGACACCATCGACGTGTTCCAGCAGCAGACGGGGGGGTCCGGGCGGCCAGCTGCCTCTGGGGTGCAGCCCCTAGAGCCACCGTCCCCTCGTGTCACTGCGCTTGTGTTCGCTATTGAACAGTGAAGGTGTGACCATGCCCGCACCAGGGAGGCTCAGACACCCAGGACATTCCCCAGAAGGACTTTGCTCTCTGATGTACTTCAGTGCGGCCGCGGGGATGTCCACGGCTTCCCCCAGCCCATCACCCCGGTACCTCTGTTTGGGTAAAATGTATGGCGAGGGGTTTTGTTTTTGTTTTTACTTTCATTTTTGTTTTTCCTCCCTCCTATGACATTTCCCCCAAACTTGTGGCCTGAGTGCCCACTTTCCATCTAGGTGGGGCTCTTACCCCAGGTACTGGCCCCTACCCATTCCAGTCATGTAGAGAACTCACGTCACTGCTCTGGGGGTGTTTCCGTGGGGTGAGTTTTGGGGACACAGTCGGGATGGGAGACAAACTTTCACTTACTGTTTCTTGCTGGCACAGGGTTTTTTTAATGCTAAATATTACAAGTGTAAGCTTTGTCAGAATATAGTAAAGTTGAAGGGAAAATACTGGAATGTTTCTTAAAAGGTAAGAAGTTCTTCAGTAACGTGGCCCCGCGTGGGGCCTGGGGCCCAGGACCCATCGCCACCCATGGCCAGTGATGCTGTTCAGGGGCAGTGAAAGTTGGCTTTTCCCCTTTTCCTTAACAGAGAAAAAAGTAATTCCCACACGTCTCACCTGGTAATAGTGCCGGGGCCTCAGATTTCTTCCAGTATTTGCTTCTGATGAATGACAGTCTGTATATAAAAAAGGAAGATAGAGTATTGCTGATTTTGCAATTAACGTTTTTGTGTAAAAGAGCTGCTTCAAAGTGTGGTTACGAGTGAAAGACGGCTCCGGGGTCTCCCCATGGACTGTGCTCTGCTCCCCAAGTTGGTGTGGAGTTTACGTGTTACATGTGATTTCAGTTCTGTGAAGCATTTGGGGTCTGTCCTGGTTAAACTCCGAGAGTTGTCCTGTTGCCCTCGTGTGTGGCCCCACTGCCGCCGGATGGCCCGGCATTGCTTGTTCGGGTCACCTGGGCAGCGCGACCACCGTCATCTCTTGTCTGGCTGGCATCTCGCTGAAGATGTCTGCTTTTCCTTTGTATTTTGCTCTTCGGGCACGGGTGGGATGTCTGCTGGCTCTGTTGTGTTTACTCCCATTTGTACATTATTTGTTGTCCTTTACTACTGTCAACAGTAAATATAGTTTGGTATTCTGTCTCTCGGCTTGTATCCAGCACTGCGTATGGAGCTTGGGCGTTGTGTCATGTTCAGTACTTGCAGCGACCCTCCAGCGAGGCCACTCACACTTCGATCTAAAGGCCGGTTCACCGCTGCCCCCCTTCCTGCACCCGCGCAGGCTTCCCAGGCGGGTGGCGCCTCCTGCCGAGGACACCCCCTCACCCTCAGAACTCCCCTCCGTCCTCTCCTGGGTGTCCCGGGTGGAGGGTCGCCGTTACTCTGGGCTTCTCGATATTTTTGGTGTTTGAGTATAAGACTTTTCCTTGGTGCAGTTGACAACCTACTCACTCATCTGTTTGAAACGGAAGCGAGTGGCACTAATTTGAGAACTTCCCTGCGTGCCACGCTGTGACAGCACCAGGGTGCATCAGGTGAGGTAAGCACAAGTTGAAAGGTCAAGGGCAGCCGGGCAGGGGGGCACTTGATTCACTTACAGCAGCGGCGGGAGGTGAAGGCGCAGCACAGCGACTGGGTCGTGTGCCAGGTGCCGGGGCGGGTGGCGAAGCCCGACAGGGCAGCCCCTGCACTTGTGCCGAGAGGGACACGCCAGGGTGCCTTAGGTTAGGAGCAGCGCTGTTTCCTCAGGGGTCTTAGAACAGTGCTGCTGACCGAAGAGCAGGCAGCGTCCTGGCGGTTGTCTTTTATCTTATAAATGTGTGCACATTGTGCATTCGGAATAATCTGTTGATATCGATGTTTTTAAAATATTGTTACCTAAACCCAACTCCCAGAATCTTTGGGTTAAATTGATGCTTCAGTAGGAGACAGGCCCTATTGATGCTGTTATTGGTGCCCTGGGTCCCAGCCGGCACTTTCTCAGTTCCGGTACCGCAAGTCCCATGTCCCAGGACCCCTCAGTTCCAGGCGCATGGGCGATGCCAGCCTGGCTGTGCTGCACAGCACAGGTGGGGAAGCATGTGTTAATACTGGCTCTGCCACAAGACACAGGTTCCATGGAAAGGAACTGCAAAAAGCAGATCCTTCTTGTACCTCAGAACTTCAGTTCCCAAAGAAACTTGCTGGCCTGTCCAGTGGACCAAAGCCTCTAAGTATTGATATCACACACCTGCTACTCAGAACCCTGGGGGTACCAGGACCGACTGACCGAGCAGAGAGTTGCCAGATTGAGTGAATAAAATACAGGGTGCCCAGTTACACTTGAATCTCAGAGAAGACGTGTGGAGGGGGCCTGCTTCCCTGAAGGCGAGGCCGTCCCACCAGCCACAGTGAGGTGAGAGCCTTCTGTTATGTTGAGCACCTCATGTTTTGGGTTTTTGTCACTTGAAACTAATCCTGGTACAAGCTGTGAATACACACACTGCTCTACAACAGGAAAATGATGTGACAAAGACAGCAGTGACACAGACGTGGACGCAGCTAAGAAAATACCCAGCATCTGACAGGTGCTGTTGTCTGAGCGTCATAATGTTGATGACAATGCTTTTCATCACCCACACTTCCTTTAGGTGACCAAGTGGAGTTTTCCTCTAGCCTCCATGGGAACCACACCCTCTGACCCCTGACCGGCTTGGGGGGATGGGGTGTGGTTTGATTGCAGAGAGGGCAACTACTTGAACAGGTGAAGCGCATGAGTATTTGTGCAAATCCATTACTCTTTGGAACTGTCTAAAAGTACTGTGTTGTTTTTATAAATCACCATGGTCATTTGAAAAGACAGTGTCAGACTGAATTGTTGTGACACCTCTACCGCAAAATATGCACCATTGTGAGGTTTGCGCGAATTGTTTAATTTTATTCAACTCGACAGATACCTCCTGCCACGTCCAGGTACTGAGGCTGCATCCAGGAACACGCGAGAAGAGAGCACCCTGCCCTCATGGGACATGTTTCTGGTTACAGGAGACAGAGAAGTTGTATACTGTGCTAAAGAATTATACAGGACGTCACACAGAAATTCCATAGAGGAGCGCGCTGGATATGTGTTGCGAAGATAAAAACTTTTCTTTTTTAAAAGGTGCATATATCCTTGCCACAAAGCACTAAATGTGCTGACTTTCTCTGAAGTAAGAATGGGGTTCTAAGAGGCATAAATAAATAGATCAACAGATAGATCAGTGGGCCAGTCAGCAGAACCATCATGAATGTTACGAAAAAAAAGACTCGCCAGTCTAGTTATCCGATGCACATTACTCAGTGGAGAAGCCAGAGCAGCAGCGGGGGCGGGGGGAGGGCGGTGTATGGCCCCTTGCTGGCCTCCTGAAGCAGGGGCCTTGAAGCAGTGGCCTGGGGGACTGCCAAGGGGGCCGTGGGGAAGTCTGGACCCGCTGCCTCTGGGAGCTGCTGGTCAGCAGGCTGGCGGTTGGGAGGGGAGCCCATCCACACCTGGGGTGGGGGAGGGGTCTGGCCGCTGCTCTGCTCCCATCTCGAGCTCCCAAAGCTCCTCTCTTGGCCGAGTGGAATCCAGAACCACACCGACACGGCATAAAACCGCCACAATCGCCAATCTCACTTTTTCAAACCTAAAGCGGTGTGAGGGTAGCCACCGGGGCACCAAATGTGTTCCGCGTGGATTCTCGCTCTGACTGCAGCTGGGCCTGAAAGTCGCCTCCTCTGAACTGCACGGGTGACAGCGAGGGAGCCCCGACACCGTCCACGGTGTACCTTCAGCAAATAATCTGAACGACATCTGCTCATCCGGCCCGCGAGTGGCCAGCCCTGCCCACCGCCCCCCTCGTCCGCCCTCCCCGCCGTCTCCATCCTCTGTCCACGATCCTCCATCCCCGTCCCCGCCGTCGGGGCCGCCCTGAGGCCACGAGGACGGAACAGGCGGTTCACACACACTCTGCGGGCGCTCGCTGCTCCGGGATCTTCTGCAGAGCTCCCTACCGGAATCCGGATCCCCGGAAGCGGCGTTGATCCCACAAAGCGGCTTAGGGCCCCGCCCCGCCAGGCCCCGCCCACCGCGCGCCCGCCCCGCCCCGCCCACCGCGCCCCGCCCCGCGCACGCGCCTCGCGTCCCGGAAGGGCTCCTGTGCCCCCGCGGCGACCCGGAAGCGGCCTTGGCGTTGGGCGGGAGGGAGGAGCGCTGAGGAGGCGAGGTCGACGGCGCAGCTGTTGCCCGGAAGATGGCGGGGACGGCGCTCAAGAGGCTGATGGCCGAGTACAAACGTGAGTTCAGGGCCGCGCGCCGCCCCTCGGCCCCCCGCCGGGCCCCGCGCCCCCGCCCGCACGCTTCTGGCTGCCGCCCCGACGTCCGGGTGCGGGGCGTGGACTCGGTCTGCCGCCGAGCCCGGCCCGCTTGTGCGCCGTCGGGGCGCGTTTCGTGCGGTCGCCGGCGGCCGCCCGCGATTCCGGGCGGGGAGAAGCCGGCGCGGCGCTGGTCTGGGGACCCTGGGCTCCGGCTCTGCCAGTAACCGGAGGGCTCCCCGACCCAGCCTCGCGGACGCCGGCGGGCCGGGCGGAGGGACAGCTCACCGGCCTAGTGAGAAGTTGCGGGAAGCGTCCTAGGAGGGTAATCGCGTACTCATGAGGCGGAGGCGAAAGGTCAGATTTGGGTTTTCTCTTTAACGAGGGAACAGGGTTTTTGGACAATGCCACCTGCCATTCTTCCCGGGTAGCGTTGCAAAAGCCTCCTTCGTGCTTTCTTAGCCCGCAGAATTTTCTGATGTTTGGGGAAAGCAAAGGGAGAAGCGAGAAGCGTGTTCTCCCTTTTACAGCGGAGGCTCCCTTGGAGGAGTCGCTGTGAGAAGCCGGGGATGGATGCCGTTGTGTTTGCTGGGCGCAAGGTGGGAGGGAGCCTGCTGGGGGTTCACACCTGCCTCTGCTTGTTAGTTGTGGACCTTGACCTCGGACGTCGCCCGCTGCCTTTCCCCGTCTGTGAAGATGGTGCTTAGCCAGGTACCTGACAGCTGGCTCTCCGCAGCGTGAGCTGTTCCTGTTGTCATTACACTGAGGACACTTTCCGAAGAAACTTGAACGTAAACTAAAATAACGAATGTCATAAAGCTAACTGGTAAACACGCACGCAGCTGAGTTTCCTAAACCATCTTGGCGGCCCTGCGCAGGGGGTGTCAGTGTTTGGCTAGAGCAAACCACAGAGTTGCAAATGCAGGCTCGTTAAAATAAATGGTTAGAAAACACTAGATAACCATCTAGTGTTCTCTAAAGTAAGAATGTATATTTAGAGGAGACTTTGGGGGGTCAGAGTGGGGGAACAGATGGTTCCCCCTGAACAGAGGGTTGGAGATGGGGGCCGTTGCCTCTGTCTCCTCATGGGAAACCTGGCTGGGGGTCAGATGTCTGGGAACACGTGCCATTTCCTGCCATCCTGGTCTGTGTCGCTGCATCTGTTTTAGTTTATTTGGCCCTGTTTCTAGACTGCCAGCAGGTACTGTTTTCTCATTTCTGTAGAGGAGGACTCTGTTAAACCCCTGCATGGGGAATTTAGGTGGCTGCTTCAGCCCAGTCTTTGCATTGTTGAGCTTGTATTTCCTAATATTTTCCCTTTTCTCTGCTTACAAAAAGTCCCATCCAGTATCTCAACCATGTTGTCAGTTTGTAGTAATAAAACGTAAATAGCAGTTGACTTCCAAAGCTGTATCGCAGAAGTGTATCATGTGTGTTTTTATGTGTAAATATACGACATTTTGGAGTGTGTCACAGACAGAGCTCTACAGGTGTCTCCCTAAGACTCCCGTCCCCCGGTTACTCAGTCAGACACTGACCTGGGCACCGTGTGAAGGGACTTTGGAGATGTTGTTTACAGGTAACTAACAAGCTGACATTAAGATGGGGAGAGTGTCCTGGGTTATGGAGGTGGAACCCCATTGTCACGTGAGGCCCCCAGATGGGAGAGGAGACAGGAGAGGGGAGGCAGGAGACCCAGAGCAGGAGGAGGACCCCCTGCCGTGGCTGGGCCAGGAGCTGAGGACCACCGTGGCTTCTAGAATCTGCGAATGACCCCGGCTGACAGCGGTGAGGGCCCTGGAGCCTCGGTCCTGCAGCCGCAGGGAGCAGGGTTCTGCCAGCCCTCTGAATGAACTTGGGGTGGCAGCCTTGTGAGGCTCTCGGCAGAGAACCAAGTGGCCTGTGCGGTGCCCAGGCGCTGACACACAGAAACCGCGAGATCATCAGTGGGTGTTGTTTTCAGCCACTGAGTTCGTGGCCATCGTCACATCAGCCGTAGAAAATGACTCCGGTGTGTTGCTGGGGACGGGGGTTGTTGATGCGGTGTCTTAGGACCATGATAAAGTCCCACTTAGTGATTCTTGTCTTTTGTGTCTTAGCATCTGGTTTGCCCTCCTACCACATTTTAAGGTGGCACATCCAGTAGAAAGGTAGGCTTCACAGAAGCAACTTCTGTGCGGAATGGATTTAGGTAGATTTGGGTGGGGTTCAGGCCCCCTGTCTTGTATTTGGAATAGTCACAGAGCTGCAGGAACTCAGAAGTGGTAGGACCTTGGATATGATTCCATTCAGGCCCCTAATTTAAAAAATTTATAGGAAATTGAATAACAGACAAAATGATTTGCTCAGGTTCTTATAACCAGAAAAAAAGAAAGATGGGAAAAGAAACAAGGTGTCTTAAACCGATATCTTTTCTCGATGTTTCATCTTCGTGCATCGTCTAGGCTTTTCTAGGAGTATCAGAGATGGACTTAGGTATTAGTTTGCCAGGGCTCCCGTAACAGAGTAGCACGAGCTAGGGGCTTAACACAACAGAAGTGTATCCTCTCACAGCTCTGGAGGCCGGAAGTCCCAAATCAAGGTGTCGGCAGAGCCAAGCTCCCTGCAGAGGCTCTAGGAAGGATCCTTCCTTGCCTGTGCCAGCTTCTGGGCGTTGCTGGCAGCCCACGGTGCTCCTTGGCTAGTGGTAGCAGAACTCCCGTCTCTGCCCCTGTCTTCCCGTGGTCGTCTTCCCTCTTATAAAAACACCAGTCACTGGTTTAGCCTCATCCTAATCCAGCGTGATCTCGTTTTAACTTGATTACATCTGCACAGCCCCCGTTTCCAAACAAGGTTACTTTCACGGGTTCTGGGGGACACTGTTCAACCCAGTACGGTGTCTAGTAGGAACCCCAAACTTACACGTGTGGCGCCGAGCCGCTGTGCTCCTGCACCGTTGTTGTCCCACAGCCTTACCTGTCTCAGTGGCGGCCTTATTCTTCCAGCTGTTTGGGCTCAAAACCTTAGATTGGTCTTTTGAGGACTCACTTTCTTCTGTATCCAAGTGTAACCTGTTGACCTGCCTTCAGACTTTATTCGTTTATCCGGAGTCCAGTGCTGGCTCAGGCCACTCACCTCCGGCCTGCGTAACTGCAGCCCAGTCCTGACGGCGGTCTGCTTCTCTCTTGCCCCGCTTGGCTCTGTTCTCAGCACAGCAAAGTCAGATCGGGTCGCTCGTCCAGAAGCCCTTGCAGTGACTTCTCATGCTGTGTGCTCCGGTCCTTCTCTCGCCTCTGACCTCACTGACGCCTGCGCCCCGGTGCGTCTCCCCAGCCCCACGTGGTGCTGCAGCAGCGCGCTCCTCTTGGGGTGTGGGCCCTTCCTTGCCCTGCCCCCCTGGAGACGCCTTCTCTGAACCACCAGACTCAGCCTGTCCTTCCCATTACTGTCATCCTTCCCAGTCATTAACCCGTTTTAGTTTTTTAAAGCATCCTTTATTGTGAAGTATGTTACGTATGTAAAGGATATAAAAGGTGTACTTTCAGGT